GGTCCCTTCCAACCCTGGCCATTCTGTGATTCTGTGCTTGCTCTGCTGCTTTCACAAGGGGGAAATTGTCTCTCTAAATAGAACCTCCCTACGTTTAGTGAGCATTTGAGGCACATATCTCACATAGAAAATCCCAGCCTTCCTCACACAAGAAGTGGAAAGATCTGAATGCAGGGTGAAAGGTAGGCAAGGGGCACAAACACCTGAGGTGTATGAGTCTAATGAGCAGTGCCCAGCACTCTAAGGCCAAGGGGAAGTTTTTGTATGAGAGCATCACTGTATTTTTCTGCAATGAGTTTGCCATCAGCAGCTCTTGAATGCTCATTTGTAACCAAGAGAAGTGAGAGAGAACAAAACAGTATTTTCCCATCTAAAAATGCTATTGCTTATCTGGCTCTTCACAGGGGTATTAAGAGGGCTATCAACACTACCTGACTGATCCAGCAATCCTTTACAGCCTTTCAGAACTACAGGCTAATGGACAACAGAGCCTCTGGTATGGATTTTGGGGGAGAATAAAGTGCTTGCCTGACTGAAAGTTGTCGTCTCCACTTAGTTCACTCCACTACTCACCTCCCTTACAAACACTTGGGAGCTAGATATGGCAATGGGATCTTTTTGTCTAACAGTAGCCTGTTGTTCTTGCACCAGTAGTTTTTCCTTAAAAAATAAAATAAAAAAATATATATACACATACATTTATCAATTTTCATACCTCCAGCAAGATTATTTGCAGGGGATGTTATCACAGGTTTTACTCACTCTTGGCCACAATATGCCATGTTGAAGTGTCACATCATTCTCAAATAATGCTATTCTGAACATCTGTTGCAATATTTTTGTTGACAACCAGGTAACTTAGCCAATTTCATCCCCCCCCAAGAGAATCAAGATCAGGGACCTGTAAACTAATTACTCAAAAATAGTCTGCTATAGTTGAAACCAAGTAAGGTGTCATCAGCACTCATCAGTGCTGCCATAATATGAATAAGAAAATAGAAGGTACAGAAACAGGACGAATGTGCTTTAAAACTGAGAATAAATAAGATTTCAGTTTTTGATCGTGTTATGAATTGAAATGTAGGTAATCATCAATGCTTTTGAGACTGGAGAGAGCAGCTGCAGACATTGCCAAGCAAGATTAAATACAGCCATGTATATTTAGTACATTTACTACACTTCAGCATATACTTACTATCTACTTACATTTCTGTCTTTAGAAAGTGTTTCTTGCTTGTCTTTGCCAGTGATATTTGGCTATAGCATTACATTTAATTATATTTACACCTTTAGATGTATACTTACAATAACTACAAAATTTTTGCACCCAACAACTGGGCACTTCATGATCCCTAGCACCTTGACAGTTGACAAGGTTGACAGTCCATACATGGCCCAAAATTCCCAAGCCCCAGGCCAGCTGCCCCCAGTCTACATGCACTGAAATTTCACATTAGTACGGCTGAAACATTATTTGAAGCTCTATTGTAGGCAGACAGACAAAATGGCTGGAGAAGACTGTCAGTGCTGATGTAGGCAGTCATTAGAAAATCTCATTATATTCAGAAATCTGTACAATGAATCACTTTCCTTCTCCCAGGAAAGTGAAAACCTTTGCTTTTAAATGAAATGTTTTCTACTTCATCTCTCAGGAACTCTCCAGGCAGGCAGATACCTTCTGCCTATGAGAAAAAGAATACCTAGGCTAAAATCTAATCATCTTGTCCAACTGCTTTAATATCATTTTATAAATATCTCTTACTCTATCCAGTCTGGCATCTATTCAGGTTTTTTTTCCCTTGTCTAATATCCTGTATGGGACTTCACTTATTGTGGGGACAGGGAACAAAGAAATGGTGGCCGGGAAGTCATCAGATAGAGCAGCCCTATTCTATTTTTCAGAGGGATTTAATGTCATCAGTACTTATAGAAGCGTGACGTTTGTCCTACTGCAAGAAAATAATAAAAATCCTGGTGAAAAGTAAAAATAAATACAGGAGAAGTAGATAAAGATTCTGCAGAGTCGATAAGATCAATTTCCCAATAAATCTTTCTGAGCTTGTTGAGATTAGTGGTTCAAAGAAGCTGACCTGCCAGGAATAAATTGTGCCAGCAGAAGTAATACATCTGAATCTGCCAAAAAAAAATTATCTTGTGCATGTGACACAGTTTTGCACTCAAAGGGTTCATCCAAACGAATCTGTGCTTTATAAATTTTAGGCAACTTCATTTCTTTTTCAAAAAGTTATCTCACCAGTAGCAGTTTCTTACTACAAATTTGATGAAATCCAGCTCTTATTTATCTAACAATCTGAGATCATCACTTGATCTCAGAGTTCTTTTCCAAGAAGCAAACAGCAACACACACCCATTTTACAGACAAGGTAACTGAGGTCCTGAGAGTTATAATAGCATGCCATAGCAAGGTAATAAAAGAAGCTGGTTGTTCATGTCCCAAAGGACAAATTTTTTCCCACTCAGAGAAGCTGTAAGTTACTGCATAGAATACTACATTCTTTAAGATTCAGTGATTAAAGAAACCACAGCAAACACACATCTTCTGCAAATTACCCCAGAAAATGGAAAAAAACAGCAAAGTTGGAATTTGCTGAGAATCACTCCATGTTTTCAAAAGCAGGGACCAAAATAAAAGTCTTTTCTGATTATGTTTTAATCAATCAGAATATCTTAATCAGTCTGAAATTTAACTTCATCTTTTTTTTAATTATTTGCCCTCCCCCTCTTTGGGATATCCCTGCCTACCACGCTCTGTTAGTTAAGTTTAATTTCCCTCAAGGACTTTAAGATGGTTTGTCTTTGCTTACCCAATACCCACTTCATGATCAGCAATTCTGTCCACGAGAACTGAGTTGTTTTGACTCTAAATATTTGTTTGGGATGATCTGTGATGGTTTCGTTGGGAAGATTTTTTACTCCTTCAAACCGATCCGAAGCGTTCACTACTAACAGTCCAAGGAAGATTGTGAAAGAAACAGCGTGCGCCACGAACTTCATGAAAGGACTTCGGAGGGTCCGTCCCAACTGAAATGAAACACACAAGATTTTTGCTTTCTTCTGTGCATGTCAGTATCATTTCTCCCATGTATGTTATCTAACCCTCCTGACTATGTAGTAAGCAGAAAATGAAATTAAACCTAGCGATGTACCCACTTCTCCTTCACAGCATCCTAAGCAGTAATATATTAGAATCTTTTATTAATTCTGAATTTTTGGTTCATTAGCAACGTGTAGGAAATGTTATTTCATTTAAAGATTCCTTTGTAATAGTCTTCATATACCTTTATATGAAAGCCTTCTCTTAAAACTAGCACAAAATCTGCAGATTCACTCCCTAGCACATGTGGATTTATCCCAATACAGTAAGTCAAGAATAAATGCAGCAATGATCTGAGCCAAGACCTCTCCATTACAACCAGTATTTCTTCTATTCTTTAAAAAAAAAAAAAAAAAACCAACACTTTTTTCCTAATCAGTTTAAATAACACTTTTTTCATTTTTTGTGGCCTAAGTAACCAGTATTGCAGGAAGATATCAATATACAGCAGTGCAAGTGCCACACTGTACATAGGCTTTCCAGAACAACCTCAAAGCACATGGGATTTTTTTTTTTTTTTTTTTTTTGCAGTGTATTACACACTGATTAATTTCCCTTAATGACAGGGCATCCTCAAAGTTTTCTTAATATCTACCTTCTTGATCATAACACCTCATAAGAAACATGAAAAAGGACTAAAGTAAGAAGGTTCCTTGTTTTCTTATTTAGCTCCAGCAACAGCTTTGGTTAAAGACCTTTTCAAAGTTACGCATTCTATCAATGCCATAAATTATTGGAAAATTTGTATGTTTCTAAGTACCAGAAAGTCTTTCTAACACAACCTATTCACGAGCTCTAATTAACAAGTTTACTTCTTACCAAGGTACATAAGTATGTGCTTAGGAAAGTGAATATTGCCCTGACTCAAAGTCCAAGTTTCTTTACTCTTCGCTAGGAATGTTATGGCAGATGTAGGAGGTCTTCTGATTAAATGAAATGTATTAAAAACAATCCCAACACTGATGACAGTGGTTCACTCATCTCTGCAAAACTTCGTGTGGTGCATGTTAGCTCTCAGCAGGTATTTATGGCAGACGTTGACTAGATTCACACTCGTAGCAGACCACCTTATGTTGCCAGTGCAGATGTCCCATACAGTAGCAACCTCAATTATTTCCTTATATGACCAGCCTGGGAGAGCTTAAAGAGCAAATTTTAACAACTGTGAATATACAGAGCTGTTCTCAGTTAATTTGAAGTGCATTTGCAGCTTATGCACGGCCCATTCCCACTCTCAATTCCCTAAAAGAGAAGCAGCGCTTTCTTCTGAAGCCTGAATTGTTTCTGAAAAATTAGACATTTTCTCTTGTCTACAGAAACTCAAAAAAAAAAATAGACACTGAGATTAAAGCAATTCCTCCACTCAGCATAATGCATTATGACATTAAGATATCTTCCCCATGCACTGCGATACTGTTAAACTCAAGGTCTGTCATTCTTGAATGTATCAACTTCTTTATTAAATCAAAATTTCATCTTACTTCAGATGGAGACTGCAGGGAAATGCCTGACTGCTGCTGTTAGGATGACAGAAATGCTGACAGTGTGCCAATACAAAGCTTCATTCTTAAGAGAGTATCTCATTTCATGACTTGAAATCTTATCTGCATCATAGGAAAATAATAAAGCTAGACATGTGAAAAAGAAAGTATACAAAGGGTGAGAGTGAAACAGCTTTCCAAATGCAAATTAATCTAAATTCCATGAGATAGGAACTAATAAAGATAGAAACTGCAAAAAAGAAAAAGTTTTCACTATTTTCAGTACTGCACTCATAGCAGAAGCATGACACATATTGTAGAAAATAGACATAGCAGAGGAAAACGTCCAGAAAAAAAACAAACAAAAATCAAGACTTCATTGTTCTGACTGATGGAAAACCATTTGTTGAAAGACAATTCCTGAGATAACTTCCAATTTGACTTTAGGATAGAAGGCTAGATATGCTCTTTAAGAAAAAAACACAATACAAAAACAGGACATTGAAAAATGGGAACGCACAGTAAGAAAAACCGCAAAAAAAAAAAAAAGTTAAGGGGAAAATTGTGCTGTTCCATATTTCAATTTTTTTTTTTTTATTTTAAATTTTAATATGCCTACCTCATGAAATTGAAACCCAAATACCTTTCTCAGTTATTTCTTTTTTATCCTGCAATTTAGTTCAAGGTTTTGAGTGAGTTTTTGCCCAGTTTCGCCCAACTGTTATATCCAATGTTTTTCATTTAAATTCTCTGCTTATTTCTAGTCTAACCTTTTTCCCCACCTATTGATGTATTCAAACACAAAGCCTGTAGTTCTGGGAATACACCAAAAACATTGCTGTTGACTGGTGTGCCAGATCCCAGCACTTTCATCAGAGGTGAAGGAAATTAAACAGCTTCATAAATCCCTGCTAGACTGAGTTCTGACACAAAGGAATCATCATTACCTCCACGTGAATTCCCACTGTCACCTAACCCAAAACAACCACAGTACAGCCCTGGTTTCACATGTATTTCTCCATGGGAAACTCTGGATTCCTGTCCAGTATTCATAAGATCTATGGGCTCACATGTTGATACCTAATCTCGACAAAATGAGGCTGCATTCTCAAGTACTCTAAGAGAAAGTACTTGTTTTGTAGGACACTGAGCCTTTTATCATCTTAGATGCCCTGGAAGAATGTTTTCTAAAGGCTTATCTAGTTTTACTTACAGATAAATCTTTTAAATTACAGTGTTTCCTTAACATCCACCCACAGATCTATAATTTCTTGGGTTTGGCAAATTTAGACAATTCCTTGCTGGATTTTTAAATGAAACATGAGAATCTGCTTTCAAGACAGAGTAAATTACCAATGCTAGGGGTCATTTCCATCAGACTTAAGTACCTTTGATAATCCTCTTGCTGAGAACACTCTACCTTGTAAGGGATGATGTTGCTGAACGTGAAATGAATTCCTCCCTTGCCACCTCTTTTTCCTTCAGTAGGAGTAGTGAAAAAAGCTATTTATCAGTCAGCCACACATCTATTTATCTCCACTCATTTGAGCAGTCTCCCTCAGCATGAAAGTCTGCTAACACAGCTCAAGCTTGTACACAGGCCAGTGGTTGGCTTTAGTCCTGTGACCTCTAAGCCTTGGCAAAACACTCCTGCTCCACTGGATGCGCTGAGACAGAGCACAGCCATGTTTAGGAATATGGAAACCTTCCAAATTTCATCATCTTTTCCCTCAAAACCATAACGACTGTTTGATTAATTATAGCCTTCTCTGCAACCCTAAGCTGTCCTCTGTGTCTTGCCAGCTTCAGGTACACGTGCCACAATAATGCTTCACTAACTGAAAATACAAGATTAGAAAGAAGGAGAAAAGGGAAGAAAGGAGTCCAGAAGCAGTGAGGAACTTACAAGAAGTACAGAAAAAGAATAGGAATCTAAGTATCAGAATAAACAACGAGAAGCATTGCAAGTCCATACCTTGCTGCAGGGAGCAATCCAGTAGGCTATGGCAAGGAAGGGCAGGCCTATGGAAACCCCAAAGACAGCCAGGAACTTCACAGCTATGGATTGCTGTCGTAAGCCTGAGAGGTTTTCATACCACATGGTGAGCAGCTGCTGCTGGCAGTTGGGGTGAGCAACAAACTGTAAGAGAAACAGAAAAAGGAATATTAGCAGCATCGTCTGAAGAGAAGGAGATTTTGGCAAGCAGTGTGCTGAACGCATCCAATAGAAAAGCACAGGACATGTCTTTGTCATCCCACATAGCTTTTGGTGTCAAAAAACAGAACTGCAAACTAACCTCCCCAAGTCCCCAGTACTGGCGGAATGAGTTTCAGTTCTGGTCTTCTCTCTAGATAAAGGTTTTGTCAGACTGCCTAAGCCAAAAGCCAATGCCTTACAGTGAGCAGTAAGGACAAAGCACCTCTTTGGAATCAGGGACTGTAGCTCAGACTGTCCAAGCTGAGATACAGAAAAGAAGCAGTGAGGTTCTTTGATGCTAGAAGCTGAAAAAAATCTCTGATAAGTGGCTAAAGCCATAGGAGGCCATTGAAGGAGTAGCTCAGCACAGCACCAACGTAACGCTGTTTTTGTTTGTTGCATATTGACCTAAAGTGAATCATTCTGCATGGATCTTCTCCTGTCAACTCTAAGAGGCCTGGCTGGTATTTTGCAGTGAACAACTTTAAATGCTTTACCTCAGATTATCTTTCAAAAATGATGGCTCATCCTTTACTGATCAGAGAAATGACAAATATAGAAGTAGAAGGAAGTGCTCTGGAACAGAAAGTACATATTTTGTATCTTACAACTGAGGTTCTTCAGTTTATTGTTCAGGGGAAAAAGAAAAGGCGAGCAGCAGACAACTGAAAAGGGCAATTTCTTAATGGTAAAAAAAATAAATAAATCACAGCATCACTGGATCCCACAGAAGAGTTTTATTATAAAAGATTGAACTTCTTTATTTCATATTGTTCATCAGAGTGATTGAATTTAGCATATGACTGTTTTTAATAACAAAGAGAGATAATTAAAAGGCAAAATAACTGAAAGAAAAGATGAAAAATAGATACGTGGCTAATTGCATTCGGATAACTAAACGTTTATTTATGGCTTTGGTGGGTGACTAAATATGCTGAGAAGGGAAAGGCAAAACCCTCCACTGTTTCAAAAGGCATTTTGAATTTTCTGGAGGTAGACAGAGGGGGAAAGGCTAGAGAGAGAAAGAAGAGAAAAGCAGGGGCTACAAGTTCCTACTGTGCTTTCATCTTCATTGTCTTTGACAAAATGATCACATCAAAAATATAACGGACCTTTTCCTAGACGATGGTATAATAACAAAATGGTTACTGTGATTTTTAATGACCACTTCGTTGCTAGCAGAGAGTGAAATATAGTAGCATGGTAATTGGGATGGCTGTGGAACAGTGCAATTCCATCTTTAACAGCACATTAGCAACCATTTAAAACACACTGCTTTTGCTTCAGTTGAATTAGGCTTTGGGGCAATGGGGAAGCTACATTTCTCGAAAAAAAAAAAAAAAGGAAAGGAAAGGAAAACTATCTTTTGTGACTAAACCTTTCAGGGTGAAGGAATCTGACAGTGCTTTTAACCTCTTCCATCTTGAGGAATATTTCCTAGAAATATTACCAATTCGCTATGCTTTCAAGTTGTTTCTCCCTCCCAGAAAAAGTTTTTTCAGAAGATGTATTATAAATCATCAGTCCTAATCATACGAACACTTAGAGTTTAAGGTAACAACAACAGCATGACAATGAAAGATTGCTCAGGCTAATTATCTTTCTGGCAAACAGCCAAAAGCCATGGAAGGAAGCTGGACAGAACTGATTCCCCTCATCAGTTTTGTTTGTTTGTTTTTCCTTTTTTAGATGGGACGAAATCAACATCAGCTTTAACAGCTCATAGAAAGGAAAGATGCAGTGGTAGGCAGTCAGACTTCTGCAACAACAGGACAAAGCACCAGCCAGGCTTCCTGGCTTCCTCCCACCCATCATCATTCACCATATTAGGAGAACTGATTCAAAGAGATTCAGTTGCCCTTGGCAATCAGGCAGTCAAAGACTTCTGCTGGTTGGCATTTCAGAGAATTCAGGAGACATTTTAATATGTTCATTGTTTCACTCTGTCTGGGAACAGCTAGAATGAAAATACAGAAACGGGGATATGGAGAAGGAATTGCCATAAAGCCAAATTCATGGGAGTAACATATTTTGTACAAGACAATAAAGATTGACAGTGTGCTATAAAGCCTTGGTGGTAATCATCTTAGTCTGATTCTTACAAAAATGAAGAAAAATCATAAGATAGATAAGAGTATGAATGGATTTTGATCTGTTATTTGCTTACAAAAAGCAATACAGTTTTTCATTACATATACTTTGTCATATATTATTGAAATACACAGCAACCATTGGACAACATCAGCCTTCTCTTGACCCAAAACATCAGAAATTGATTTCAGATTCTCAAAGACATGGAAAAGCTATTTAACTTTCTCTTTTCTCAGCGAATGGCCACAGACATCAAATTAGATATTACACTAATATTTTGCTTAGCATTATAAACACAGAAAATGCTTTGTAGTGTTTCTACATTCAGAAATGGCTGCAGTAACTTTTCTGATCCCATGCCACACACAAACCAATAGATGGTCATGGTTTTTCCTTATGCTGTGCATATTTTATTATTAAGTCATATAAATAACAATTCTCTCCAGCCTATGGGTTACATGTATATTTTTAAGTTAAAAAAAGCTTAAAAACAAATCACTTGCCAGCATGAAGAAACTATTTAAATAATAAAGCGGCATTTTCGAGAGCTTCTGAAAAACACAACAGTACTGACAGCTCCAAAAGTGATCTGTCCTACAGGGGAGTAAACTCTTCAGTGAAAGTTGACTTTAAATAAAATATGGAAAACAACATTTTCAAAGCCTTTGGTGAGAATTGAAAGAGTCCAAAAGAAGGGGATGTTTCAGAGATGGCTCCAGAGAGCAAACTGGACAACAATTTTCCACATTGCTGCCTGAGCTATGACACCTCATTCTTGTATCTTATTACATATATACATTATGAAAAGGCATAGGAGATTCAGGTTGGATATTTGAAAAAATTTCTTCTCAGGAGTTGTAGTGCAGCAGCACAGGCTGCCCAGGGTGAGGGATGTCACTGTCCCTGGAGGTATTCCAGAACCACAGAGATGTGGCACTTGTGGGCATGGTCACTGGACATGGTAGGATGGGTTGGGCTTCAGGATCTGAGAAGTCTTTTCCAATCTCAATGACTCTATGATTCGGTGTACTGTTTAAGCTACACCCAGGTGACAGAGAAACAGGAAATTCCTAAGAGTGCCAGCCAACAGTCAGACAGAAAAAAAGCTGTAGATCTATCAGCAAGAATACAAGAATTTATGGTAGGATTGGCAAAAGGCAAGAATTGGCCTTAGATGATTGGGGTTAATCACATGTTACAAAAGCTTATATCTTTTCATCATTGCAATAATTCTAATTTGCTTATGAGCAGAGAAATCCACCATCAATGGAGAGGAATTAAACACTCAGACAGTCTTACGTTGTTCCACTCATGCAATGGCACAAAACAGCCAAGGGGTGAGAAGTAGGAAGAAAGAAGTCATGAGTAAGGCAGAGCAAACAGTTCACAAACAGCACAAACCAGCAACTTCAATGTCCTGTTTCACAGAGAACACTCCTTCACATTTCCCCCAGCTCAACCCTTCACTGTAAGCACTGACACTGGCAAGTATCACCAATTAAATCTGCAATTCAGAGGAGTGTTTAACCAGGGAGTGAATGCTGGAGGAGCCACACCAACAGACCCTCAGGAGAACAGCTGTAATGGCAGCAGGCACTGTGAGAGGCAGGGGTGAGCCATTCTCCTTCTGATCACCCAACTGCACTCATGACCTTCACATCACCTTTTTGGGTTTGTTATTAAACATTTGTATTTTGAGATAGTTCATTACTTCTGCAAACATTCCCTAACTCCAACTAGCGGGCTCTGCTTATGCTGCATAATGCTTTGGATCCTGGAGATCCTCAAAAAAGCACTAAAATGGTGCTGATAACTCACTGGAGTCAGTTATCACCCTGCCCCTCTGAAGCACATGGGAAAATGATGCGAGCACCCTGTGGTGCATGCACATGGCTTCTCTATTGCTGGGGCCATCCGCAGGGGAGCTCTGGTTGGGTTGAGATCAACAACTTTTTTTTTTTTTAATTTTATACTACTTCTCATTTTTGAAGCTCCATTTGATAGTTTGAGCCTCCTGGGGCAAGAAAATATATTTGGGTTTGTAGTGAATAAAATGTGCTTAAACTGAAAAGCATTTTTTCAGCAAAAAATCCTGGAAAAATTTTTTGAGAAATATGTGAAAGGTTTTTGATCTGGCAAAAAGAGCCCTCTGCTTACAGACTGATCAATGCAGAACATGGCATGAAGTAACTAAAAGACAATTACTGAAGCTTGATAGGAAACACAGTTGAAAATGCCAATATAGACACACCTCTTCATGTTGCACTCTGTGTTCTCTGAACCTTGAAGTGAACAAACAGTGCTTTGTTTCGAAGAAATTGTTATGAGACACCTTAAGCAGGACAGGACATATTAATTTCATGATCCAGAGCGGGAAAAAGAATTTGCTTTTTGCAATGCTTGTGCTGCTGAATTACAACAAACAGAGGTGACAGAAGGTAAATGTGGTGGGATCTTCATTGGCCTTATTGGGCCTGGTAAAGTAAAGCTGTAGAAAGTTTAAGAAAGATTGGAAATTACTTGGACTCAAATCACTGTCATCTTATTTATTCATTACAAATAAGTGAAGTTCCAATCTAAATATCCATGCTAAGGGATGGTGTCCAGAGGGACACACTTCAGTTACAGCTAACTGCTACCCATGGCCATAGGCCACATTTTTAAAACCATTTGCTCCAGAATAGCCTTACAGGGGTAAGCACATCAGCCAGTCCTAATTCCTCCACCTAAGAGCAAAAAAGAATTTCACGAGTCCCTGTTCAACTCAGGTGAAAGAAAATTCAGCAGATCAATGCCAAAAGGATCTGACCATAGGAAAACAACAAACTCTATGCAGGCTGTTGCAGTTGCTG